ATGCAGATCCCTGGACACCTTGGCTGTGCTCATGCAGTTCTGCTTGTTGGCTTTTGTGCCAGCTGGGGTGAAATGCAGATCCCTGGACACCCTGGGCTGTGCTCATGCAGTTCTGCTTGTTGGCTTTTGTGCCAGCTGGGGTGAAATGCAGATCCCTGGACACCCTGGGCTGTGCTCTCTTGGCCAGTGCATTTGGAGCTGCATTCCTGCCTGTGTGCTCAGGCAGGGCCTGTGCAGTTTGAAACCTGCTCCCAGGATGCTCTCAGCATCCACCTGGACACATCAGTGGCCTTGCTAAGGGCTGAAGGGGTTAATCTCTTTGGAAGTCAGAGAGACATTCCACTGGCAAAAGCTGACCCCCTGTGCTCTGTGGTGGTGCTCACGGGGGTCCCAGGATGAGGGAAGAGACGAGGATCTGACTCCATGTTTCAGAAGGCTGATTTATTATTTTATGATATATATTATATTAAAACTATACTAAAAGAATAGAAGAAAGGATTTCACCAGAAGGCTGGCAAGCAAGAAGAATGATAACAAAAGCTTGTGACTGACAGAGTCCGAGCCAGCTGACTGTGATTGGCCATAAATTAGAAACAACCCCATGAGACCAATCACAGATGCACCTGTTGCATTCCACAGCAGCAGATAATCAATGTTTGCATTTTGTTCCTGAGGCCTCCCAGCTTCTCAGGAGGAAAAATCCTAAGGAAAGGATTTTTCATAAAATGTGTCAGTGCTGAGTTTAGGAAAACTGTACCACACTGAGTGTGTTGCTGTCTGCTGTGTGCCCTGTTCCTGTCTGGGCACTTGGGCAGAGGTTGCAGGACAGAGCTCTTCCTGTTCTTCCTGAATCTTGCTTTGCTCTCACCATATCTGCCTGTGGGGTTTTTTATTAGCTGGTGAAAGAAATTATGGCTGTGGGTTTCCATTGGCACTGACATTAGAGTAAGGATTTCATGATGGCTCTTGGGTAGGAACCTCAGAGAGCACTTAGAAGTCGTATTTCCAAAAATTCATAACACTTGCACTTGGGAATAGGCTCTCAGATGTTGTTGGGAAGGCAGAAAAAGTGGTTGGCTTTTGTTGGTTTTGTTTACTTCTTATTAAGTTGCATGGCATCATCCTTTGAAAGTTGCGAGAAATAAAAAGTCAATAAGGACTTAGTAAGCATAAGTTAATCACAGAAAGTTTGGGACTGTAAAAACCAGAAATTGTGACCAAATGGAGGGCACTCTGTCTAAATGTCCTGATTTGGGAGTGTCTGTCCTGGCTGGAATCAGTAGGTACAGAAATCTGACATTTTCATGTGTTTGTAGCTTCTTTGATGTCAGCTGAAGAAGTGCTGGTGGCCTTAAAGTGACACTTAATTGTTTCTCTGGGGGTTGTACAAAGTAATCAAAGAACAGATATTTGCTGCTGCTGAGAGCTTTTGTTTGTTTCAGTAATAGATCAGACACATTACAAGGTCTGACAGTTTCATTGAGCTATTTACTCTTTGCTTCACTGAAAGGATGTTTCTGAAAACAGCACCTAGTACAGAGTACTTGTGCCAAAACAGAGTTTCTCTGTTATATACTTAAAATTGAAAATGCTACTCTTAACTGCCTTTATAATCTACATAGAATTTTTATTCATTAATAAGAACACGTCTTGTAAACTCATCAATGTTCAAAAAGGGTTTTGCTAGAGTTCCCAACTTGCTATGATGTTCTTATTAACATTTTGTTCCTTAAAAATCTTTAACTGTAATATGTGATTTTTGCTGTAAAATGTGATTATGATGCACTCTAGTCTACAGAAGATTCTTTAACTATGACATGTGATTTTTGCTGTAAAATGTGATTATGATGCACTGTAGTCTATGGAAAATTTTTTAACTATGACGTGATTTTTGCTGTAAAATGTGATTATGATCCACTGTGGTCTATGGAAAATTCTTTAACTCTGATATGTGATTTTTGCTGTAAAATGTGATTATGATGCACTCTAGTCTACAGAAAAGCAGAAGCCTTGCAGTTGGCAGCAGTACTGCTCTTGCTTATGATCTTCTGCAAAACTGAATTACATCAAACAAGCCAAGGCTCTCATGCAGAGGATCTGTGGCATCTTTTGTATAATCCATTCCATGATAGGTTCTCCCAACTACAGAAATACCAATCTTCTATTTCCACATGCTGTGTCTTCTCTGCCCATCAGATGTTTTGGGTTTTTTTCTGGAATGGATTTACTCCTAGCCCTTTATTGCTCTGCAAACAGCTTACCTGAACTCCTAAGAAGTAAATTGAGTGCTGTTGTAACAAATGCCTCTCTGTTCAATTCCCCAGAATCAGCCTGGGTTTCACCCAGATCAACTTGTCTTGTGTGTAATTTTTCTGAATAGCCTGAAGATGCACAAACTCTGCAGCTGTTAACCCACTCAGTGAAAAATGATAATGCTCACATTGCAGAGATGGAACAAAAATCACTTTGTGCTAGTCAAGAATACCCAGAGGCTTTTCTGTGTGCTGAGTTCTGTTACCCAATGCTCACATTACAGATGATTTCCCACTCTGTGACCAGTAAGTGCTCCAAAAAGGGCATTCTTGGGTTTTAGGTGTCCAGGTAATGAGCAGAGCTTGAGCAGACCTGTAAAGCAAGCTGAAGGGTAAGAACAGCAGAGCCCTGGGCAGCTGCTTTAGTTCACGTGGCTCTGCAAAAGCTGCAGAGATGGAGGGTGGGAGGTTCAGGGGTTGCTGTATTCACACCAGCAGGGGAGAATTTGGGTTTTTGACTGCTGTGCCCTCACAGAGGTGTGACCAAGGCCCTCCTGAGACTATGAAGGCAGCAGGAAGGTGATTGTCATCACATTTATGTAGAGTAAGTGGGCAGGGCATTCTGCAGGGGACTTTGAGCTGTAAAAGGACAGACTCTAAGGAGCTTTAATGAGAATGGTGTTCTGGTGATTTTGCATCAGGCCTATGAGGCACAGCTTGCACAAACTGATAAATCTTCTCCATGTGCAAATCTAAGGGATGCAGCTTTTTAGTATTTCCAATGAACTTGGGAGACTGTTTGAAGCACAACAGCAGTTATTTAGCTATGCAAAGTAAATCTACAAAGTTTTTCATAAGAACTTGATAGATACTTGTAGGGGTGCTGCCTGGGCCTTATCAATATCACCAGTGATCTGAATCTTGCTTTCACAATTTCAGATTGTATTTCAAAGTCAGGAGAGAATGATATCTAATATTTATGTTGTTAGCACATGTGCACTATTGACTCTGCAACATTTTACACTTGTGTTCAAACATGGTTTTAGATTTTTTAAAATTCCTTCAGTATCAAGCTAGCTTTTGTTTAATGCTTTGAATATTATTCTGAAATAGCCTTCCCTGAGTGGAGGCACGGGATTTGATGCTGCAGAACAGATACAGACAACAACAGCAAAATAATAATATAAAGATAATGAACAAATTTTAATTACACTTGGTATTTTACTCCTTAGCAGCCTGGTGCTCTGCAGGAGCAAATGGTCAACTTGGCAGCACACAGTGTGCCCACAGCAAACTATTCACAGGAGTCATTCCTGAATGCTCATGGCCTTTTCCATAGAAAAAAAAAAGCTTGCAATGGTTTCTGCACCTGCAAGGAGTTTCCTAGCAACACCACCGAGCAAACTGTGTGCCAGGATTTTCTTTTCAGAGCTCTTTTTGTTGAATATAGCAGCAGTTGTAAAACAAAGGTCAAGAGCAACTTCAGCTCTTCAAAGCAATGTTGTGCATTACATTTACTCAGAGGAGAGTTTGTGTTGCAGTTCTCTGCCTGGAGGATAAATATTGGGTTACAGTGTCATCCAATAGACAAGGGTGGTTCAGTTAAACGTGAACACAGCTTAATCTAAAATGTCACTTTTTACTTGGGGAGATTGCTGTTAGTGTTTAACAGAGGGTTATCCTGTGAAGGAGGCAGAGTCCCTGCTGCCTGCCTGCCTGCCTGGCAGAGGGCACAGCCAGGGAGCAGGGCAGCACAGAGCATCACCTGGGCAGGAACAGAGCATTAGTCTGACTGCAAAAAGAAGAAAGGGGGGGTTTGATTTTTGTTTTGTCTGAGGAGGTGTCTGCAGTCACTGTCTCACTGTGTGCACGGACCTCAGGTGAGTCCCTGCAGGGCAATCCTTATTTCAGCTGCAGCACACACAGGTACCGGGTCAGGAGTGCTTGCTGGGCTTGTCCTCTGCCAGCCTGGGGAGAGCTCAGAGTGTATCTGGGATTTTTTATGGATGGGGAGTTCAGGTGAGGGACTGAGACCCTTTCCAGCCCTCTGGGCTGGGGTTGCAGAGGTACTGGGGAAGATGGGCCACACTCTGGGCCCCTCCAAACTTCTGCTTTTGTCATGCAGAATAAGAACAATGTTTTTGTCTCTGACCAGGACAGATACTGAGGTAGCCTAAAAAATGCATGCAGTTGTAATAAGAGTTTTTGCTCTCTACCCAGTTTACTAAATAATCTCTAGTTCTAGAACCCAGTCTAAAAGTGGCATTTTACCATTTGTATTCAATTTTATGTGCAAGACAAGGCACAAAGCCTATTACTTGTATTTTTTTCCTTGAGCTCTGACTTGGTGAAAGCATTTTGTACTTAGATCATTGGATGTTGACCTTTTCCCCATTAGCTACTTGGAGAAGTACAGGTTCTGCATGGTTTAACGTGTAAGCAGTCTTCTAAAAAATCAGCAGTCATCAGAATTAATTCTCTCTCTCAGCTCCCTGTTTATGAACCCAAATTATGGCTTTGGCTGGAATTCTATACCAAACAAACTAACGTGCTTAAGGCAACCTTGTGTTTCCTTCATTACAAAGGCTCCTGACAAGTGCTAGCACCACCTCCTTCCTCTCAGAAATATTTCTGAGTAATTTGCTAAAGAAAATTAGCTGGGGACAAGGGAAAATTTCAGTGGAAGTCTTTCAGAGCTAATAGAAAAAGTGTGCACTATTCCAATCAAATAATTTTCTTTTCTTTTAGGTGATGTGAGCCCTGCTCTGATGAACACTCTCTCACAGCCAGGCTCTGTTCCTCTGGCACAAGGAATATGCTGGACCATATCAGACATGAATGCAGAGCATGTGGTGGTCACTCAGGAAACTCTAGTGGAGCAGTTAGTGAAAAATTATCCAGGTAACTTGTTTGTTTCTCCCTCCTTTAAAAAGTGGCTGTACCATCAAGCTTGAGTTTCTGATGTTGGACAAGGGATGAGGGAATGCTTACAGGCAAAGCTGGCAAGGTGAAGGAGGAGGGAACAGGGAACTGGTGGATAAATGAATGTGCAAACTTCTCATCAATCTGTGAGTGTCACTGCACTGACTTCAAATCCTTTCCACAGATGTAATGAATCTTTGAGAATCTGAGGGAACTGGCTGTAGTTAAGAGTGTGCCCTTTTAGGGGCTGGGGAAGCACAGATGTGGTATTTAGGTGCTAGACATGGAACAGCATAAAATAGACTCTTAGATCACAGAGACTCCTCCTTTAAGAGCCAGGAACACAGCTGACTTTGCCAAGGGACTGGGTAGGAGTCTACATCTGGTGTTAGCTATCAAAAACTATAACCAGCCTCAAATTCAGGTTTGTTGGTTGTATTCTAACTCTTTCCTTCCTGAAAGGAAATTACTTACACTAAGTGATCTTTAGTTCTTCACTTCTAGCCCAGTTAGTTGGAGCATGGTGCAAATAATGCAAAGGTTGTGCATTTGATTCCTATATGGACCAGTCACTTAAGAGCTGGGCTCGATGATCCTTGTGGTCCCTTCCAACTCAGAATATTCTGTGATTCTGAGGGGGTGGCAGCTACTTCGCTTAATATCTGAAAAATATTCCATTTCCCTTAGATCTGTAATATCAAAGTGTTATTGTGATGGAGACTTTGAACAGGCTCATTCTGGCCCTCTCAGGAGGCTGCTTTGTTTGATGCTGAGCTGCTTCTTTTGAGTCCTCTTAATGTTACAGCTCTGTGAATGTTACAGGCTGATCTGGTGGGCATTTTAACCAGTGGGAAAAATATTAATGCAACCCCACAAAGTGGCACAGAACCATGCCAGGAATGTGTTGCACTGTGATAACCACAAGGCAGAATTTGTAGGTCAGCCAGCAGTAGCATTCTCAAAGTTTCAAGGGTCTGGAGGTATTTTTGCTGTGTTTTCACCTTGCTGGAAGTTCTTAATTTGATGGGCAGGAGGTCAGCTGTGACCAGACTAAGGACTCTGAGACACCTGATGGAAAACTGCAGCTGAGCCCAGTCTCAGTGAGGTAATAAACTGACATCTGACCAAACTACAGAAACTTCAGAGAGTGATGAAAGCCATGTTAAATAACATGCCAGGAGGGAAATGCTTTGAACAAGAGGTTGTTTGCTTTGTACCTGGCAGAAAGTCTCTCTCATGAATATCGTGTTCTGACAGACACAAAGACAACATCCTTGCTCCCTCACAGTGCTGCTGCAGTGGCAACACAGCTAAATGCTTTACTATTTTATTTTCAGATTATTTTAGGGCTGTTGTATGAGAGAGATCTTTTGGCCAGCATCCATTTTATTTGAAAACTTGTTACTGATTTGAAGTATCTGTCTCTTTGTTCTAGGCATTGCAGTGCCCTCCCACAATGCATTATATAATATCCTTGGCACTCTAATTAAGGAAAGAAAAATCTATCACACAGGAGAAGGATATTTCATTGTGGCTCCCAACACTTACTTCATCCCAAATGATGCCACAGAAGACAACAGAAGGATCCTGCTGGAGGACAGCTGTTGCTGTTCATCCCCTTCCGTCACTGACCTGGTGAACATTAAGTCCTGCACAGACCTAGTGAAAGAAAGCATTCCTACAGTATCCTGTTACAGATCCTGCCATTGCTTCCCTGACCAAAATGAACTCTGTGAGCAAAGGCAAGGGCAGGTGAGTAGCCATGGATCTAATGCACAGGGACAGAGAGGCTGCAGTGAATTGAAGCCTTCAGCTCAAACTCAAGGCATCTCCACATCTGCTGAGAACCATTCCTGGGACACCATCAAATCCCTGACATCTGTGAAAGCAAAACTGAAAAGCAAAATGTTTGGCCTTGGCCTCTTCTGGAGAAGTGGTTCTAAGCAAGAAAAACACAAGAAGGAGTACTCCACTTTCTCAGGCCAGTTTCCTCCCCAGGAGTGGCCAGTCAGAGATGAAGATGACCTGGACAACATTCCACGTGATATTGAACATGAAATCATCAAGCGAATTAACCCCACTCTTACCGTGGATAATTTGATTAAACACACAATATTAATGCAGAAGTTTGAGGAGCAGAAAAAATGCAGCAGTGAAGAGAAAAAATACATCAGTGATGGTACCTTGGCTGAAGTGCCAACACTCAGGCAAAACCACCTCTCAAAGGATCGTATTCAAAGGGCACCAAGTAAAACAGCAAAACACACCAGGAAAAGCAGATCCAAGAGGGAAAAGCAGATGAGCAGGAAACCTTACAGACAGAAGGTAACACCCCAAAATGTGCAACTGGCAGAGAGCTTTTCCCTGCCCAACAAACCCCAGGAGCCGCCTGCTGCAGCAGTGCAATCCCAGGGGATCTACAAGAGGCAGATTAAGAATCCTTTCCAGGGTCTGCCATGGAGAGCTCGCAGCTTTCCTGCCAGGGGGCACCAGGGTGGTGCCAGCAGCCAGCTCCAGTGCCAGACTCGCAAGGGAGCAAGGGCTTCCCACAGGCCACAGCCCTCGGCCTCCTCAGGACCCTCTGGCTGTGAAACTGAAAGGCTGGGGGCAGAAAGTGAGGCTGGCAAAGCCAAGCAAAACAACCCACTCCGTGTTCATAGGTGTGACCTTCAGCTAAAGACAGACAGTGTCAGTGAAAGGGGTGGTTATGCACAAGGCAGTAATGTGCACATAGAGAACAGAAGGAGATACTTCCTGGACAGTAAGATTTGTGAAGAAAATGTCTATAAAAGAACAGTAAACAAGAAATCCCCTTGCTCCTACGCTGAAGATAGTGGTGTGTGCAAAGAGGATGCAAGATGTCCATCCCACCTGAAGGATGAGCATTGCAGATGCAAAGCAGACGCTGTATGTGAGCTCTTAGATCAAACAGCCAGTGACTTTCAAAATGTCCATCTTTCAAATTGCACGGCCAGTGTTAAGCTGGCCCCCAAAAACGGTGTGACATACAGAGCAAAGACTGATACAGAGTGAACTTCCATTTAACCACCCTGGACCAAGGGAGCTGGAAAGGGAAGGGTTCACTGCTAACTCCCATCTTCTGTACCAAAAGGGACACGATGGTGACACCTGTCCCTTGTCACACCTGGATGGCAATTCTGAGCACCTGCCCCCTGGCCATGCCTGGTCAGGCACGGGAGACTGGAGCACAGCTGTGTCCCTAAAAGCCCCTGAGGTTGGTACCTGCCCTGCCCAGCACGACACAACCATAAATAGATGTGATACGGGATATGAGGGGAGTGCTGGCAGTGCAGAGGGCTCCAAGGAGCACCCTAACCCCCAGTGCACAGAGGAGAGCTGGCTGTGCAGCCCCAGCAAGGAGGCAGGAACTGAACTCCCTGAGAGTGGGCAGGGCTCAGCTGGAGCAGGCTCCTGCCAGGCTGGCTCTGGCTGTGGCTCTCTGCAGAACCTCACCTGTGGGGTGGGAGAGGGAGCAGCACGCTGTGCTCTGGGCCCATGGATGAGAGAGAGACACCCTGCAGGACAAGCAGAGCAGCTTGTGAAGGGTGCATGTCCTGTGAGGCCAGAGCAGAAACACCCAGAGGGCACAGAAAACCACAGCACCACAGGGGACAGTGGCATTGACTCCCCAAGGTAAGCAAACACGGGGCACTAAATGCTTTATCTCCAAAGTGACCAGCAGGCTTGGGCAGAAATGCTGCAGTAATCACAAACTCCTTCCCCAACAACATTTGTAAAAAAAAATTACATTTGTAAAAAAAAATTCTATTTTTTTAGACTCGAGTGTTCTGATCCAGAAACACCCAAACTGCATAGCTCTGCTAACTCCTTTAACAGGAACATTCTCCCTGCATTGCTGCTGTTTGCATCTTGCATTTGTTTTCATGAGGCAAGAAAGCAGCACAAGTTCTGTCCTGCAGGTAGAGAGGACCTAGGACAGAAATGTGAACAGAAATGAGGTTTGATAAATTCAGTGTTAAACACAGTGTTGTTTGCAGGCTCAGCTCACACGGATCTCCCCATGTGACACTGGATGTTGTCACAGACTCCCCAGCTGGACATAAAGAACAGAGATCCAGCAGAAACTTAAAGCAGAAAACACCATTTGACTTGCTCACAATGTGTACATCACCTGGGCTTTCACAGTGTACATTTTGCCTGTAATTACTCCTGAAAATCCCTTAATGGAAAATAAATTGCTACGCAACAAACTTTTATACAGAGACCTCCAAAATTTAACTAAATTGGCAAGAATCTATTTTACAAGTCACATCCTTTTTTTTTTTTTCAACAGCAACACACATTCTTAATAGCTTAAATGAGTGACATTTAACTGTAATTAAACCATTGGAGTCTTCACTAGATTTGTACTGTCCCCTTGAGAAGGCACAAACCACAAACTCCAGTTTCTAGGGGAATGCTGCTAATTGTTCATCTTTCCCTTGGCTGTGCACCCTTCCAAGCACATTTCCTGTGCATTACTTGGACATGAAGACTTGAAATCTTCAGCAAAATTTATTTTTCAGAGGATCATTTTGACTGTGTGTACATATGCCCATCTGTGGCACTAAAAGCTAAGCCAACCCAGTTCATCTTTGGAATGTGGAGTCTGATTGGTAATAATTATATTGTTTTAGGTGGACTGAAAAGAAGATGAAGCTTCCTGCCAGATTCTAAAAGTACAAATAACAATGCAAAAAGAAGGACAAGTGAAAGGACAATTGCAACAAAATTCCTTCCTTCATCTAACTCTGGTTGTGAATATTTGATTATTTTTTAACGAGGTTGGAAAACTTTCCCCTTGTAACAAGGTAACCATGGAGCTGGTCACATCAGTGAGGCAGTCTCTAAATCAAAGCTGTTTGTTAAAACTTTTGATAGTGTTTGGAGAGGTCACGTGTGTTTTGTTTGCCCTCATCTTTAATTATTTTTTCGTGTGTCCTCGTGCTAATAAAAGTGAGAACTGGCATTCTTCATTCATACCACAGCACTGACCTGCAGGGGGTTTGTTTCTGCAATAGGAACTGCTGTTGGCTGTTTCACACTGTAACTCTGCAAAGTGTGAAATCAGCACGTGCTTCACTTTCCCTGCTCAAAAACAGAACAAATGAACTGGACACGCACCTGCTGCTACAAAATTTCCTTCACTGCCAAGGTTCTCTGCCCGTGTCCTGCAGCACCCTCAGCTATCCATCCTCAGTGTGTGTTTGTGTCTGTCAGGCATGGTTTAGGCTCTGTAAATGAAGCTTTGGCAGGAGCAGCAGCTGAGGCCGGTGCCACTGCTGCGGGTTTGGGCTCTGTAAATGAAGCGTTGGCAGAGCCAGCAGCTGAGGCCGGTGCCACTGCTGTGGGTTTGGGCTCTGTAAATGAAGCGTTGGCAGAGCCAGCAGCTGAGGCCGGTGCCACTGCGGCGGGCCAGGCCCTGCTCTGCTCCTGCCCTCCCATTCCCTCAGGAATCCACATCCCGGCAGCCGCCAGGATTGCTTCACGCATTTTCCTTCACACATTTTACTTCCCAAGGCTAACTTGGACTTCTTCCTCTCGATTTATCTACGAGCGGGTTGTGCAGGGCTCATGCTGCGCATCACCACAGGCTTGTGGATTTTAAATCTCAGTCATTTGGTCACACTGCCCTTTCCTGCTTCAGACTTTTCACTGCTACTGAACGCCTCTCTGCGGTAGTTTCGGAGGCTGAAGCCGTCGGTTTGTAAAGCTGCCGGAGATTTGCTCTGGGGACGGCAGGGCCTGGCGGGGCCGGCGGGACGAGCCGAGCCCTCATGGCGGCCCCGTCATGGCGGCCCCGTCATGGCGGCCGCCCGCTCCCAGCGTGCAGCGCGCGCAGGGTGCGCCGGGACTTGCAGTCCTCGCGTTGTCTCCCGGGGCACGCCGGGAGTTGTGGTCCCGCGCCGACGGCCGCAGGCGATTGGCTGCCGGACGGCGCGGCCCCGCCCCCGCGCTGCCGGATCCGCCGTCCATTGGCTGGCGGGCGCCGGGGCCGCTCGGAGCGTGACGTGCGGCGGGCGCGCGGCTGGTGCGGAGCGCGGCGTGGCGGAGCGGCGGCGGCGAGCGGAGATGCCCGAGGCCACCCGGTGCAGCAGCAGCAGCAGCAGCGGGGCCGAGTCGGGCTCCGACTGCTCCATGGACACCGAGGGGGTCCCGGAGAGCGGCCGCCGGCGGCACAAGGTACCAGGGAAGGGCTCCGGGTACGGCCTGGCCGCGCCCGCCCGCTGAGGCCGGCGTCCGGCGAGCCCGGCCTCGGGTGGCGGCCGCCCGCAGCGCCGGTGGCGCGGGCCGGGCCGGGCGTGCGCGGCGCGGCCGCGGGGCGGCCCCGGCCGGGCGGCCACGTGCGCGGGCGGGCCGGGCCGAGGCCTCCTCGCCGCGTGTCGGGGCGGCCCCGCCGGACGCGCTGGGCCTGCCGGAGCCGGCCGGGAGCCCGGGACGCGCCCTCCCCGGCACCCGGAGCGGGGAGCGCCCCCCAGCCGAGGCCCGGTGGTCTCGTGGTCGGTAACGTGTCTCCCGAGCGGCGGCGGCCGGCGGGGAGCTGTTGCCTTGTGTCAGCCACCGCCCCCGTCAGTAACTAGAACGTGCGCTTGAAGCTTTAACTGTTCTGCGCCCTCTTCTCTGTTCCGTGTCGCTTGGATCCACGAGCGTGTGTTTTCATTTGCTCTGTGCCTTGTCAGAAGGAGAAAAAGGAGAAGAAATCTAAACGCCGGGACAAGTTTCAGAGGGGTAAGACTCAGACAGATGACAGCGAGGAGTCGGATGAGGAGCGTTATGCCCCGAAAGCCAAGAAATCAAAGAGTGTCAGTAAACAGAACGGTCACACGAAAGAGGAGAGCGTGGAGAAATCGAGATTGTCCTTTAGCAGCAAATCCTCCCGCAGGAGCCGGCAGAGCAGTTCCAGTGAAACGTCAAGTGAGAGCGAAAGTGAGAGCGAGCAGGATCAGGTAAAGCTCGTGGCTGGTTTTAGTTATAGAGGTGTGTTAGGGCTTTTAACTCCTGCAGTGTAACACACCCAAATTTTGAAGGGTTGTATTCCATTTCCCCCCCTTTTCCTAGTCAGTCCAAAGTGCTGTAAAAGGTCAAGATTTAAAGCCCTTGAATTGCTCAGTCTGCTAAGAATTTGCAAGAGTTTTTAATTATGAAAGTGCTGAGGTGTTGGAGCAGTGCGTCGTGATTTCCTCACTTCAGCAGCCTGGTGCTGTGGGGCTGTTGCAGGACAGACAGATTGCACTGAGATAGAGTTAAAATATGATCCAGCATCACGAGGTGTATGTGATTTTTGGGGTTGTCCTGCACAGAGCCTGAAGTTGGACTTGGTGATCCTTGTGGGTCCCTTCCAATTCATGATATTTTATAATTCTAATTAATTGTTTGCAGTTTTGGTTTGAGTGTTTTGCTTCACTGTGCTTTTAGATATGAAACAGCCTTAACCTACAGATCACTTTTGCTAACTTTGTCCAGGTTTGCAATAAGATGTTAAAACAAGGCTCTTTAGCCACAGCTGTGACACTGTCCCTGAAGAGTATGACACCAGTGCCTGTGCTGAATTTGCTTGAATTACCTTGAATTTATTGACAGTCATGAGATATTCTCGTGGAATCTTACCTGAGTTATTGCTTACCTAACAGGAGTTGACTGGAGAACAGAAGGAGGGTGCTTTCTCCAATTTTGCTATTTCCAAAGAAACTGTCCAGCTTCTTCAAGGTAAGTTTCGTGGCAAGGTGTGACCGTAGAATTTTGTGTTTTTATGCTCAAACCCCATGGATCAATAAGCTTTGAGATGTGCTCTGCTCGTGCCCATGCAAGCAGGGATGCTGTGCAGCAGACATTGATTGCCTGCTCTAAATACACCTTAGAGCACACAATTTCCTGTTTGCAGTGTTGTCCAGTTCAGCCTTTGCAATAAAATTCTAAACTACATGAGCCAAGAAAAAAAATTATATGTGAGAACTTTTCAATTAAAGGTTATTTTGGTGTGAATAAAGGAAAACCAGTTATATTTAGTATCTTTGCTGTTTGTTTATACATGAATTAGTAAGAACTAAGAACAGAAGGGGTTTTGAGGTGTTAATTATTTGAAAGGAAGAGGTTTTCACAGATAGCTGAGGAGTATTGCACAAATACAGGCACAGTGCTGACAGTCTCTCATAAAGGCTGATAACTTCCTCTGTCCTAGCTAGCACTGTGTCTGGTGGGGTGAAGTGGCAGAATAAAATTGACAGTCCCAGAGTACTCTTTGCAGATGACTCATCTGATCAAATCAGTGGAGGTGATGATACGCTCCTGACATACTCTAGAGTTGATGGAAGTTCTTCTTGCAATAATTTTGCAATGGTTTCCAGTGAAGAGTATGAAAGAACAGTTGTAAAATGACCATATTAAGGAACTCTCTTGCAATTGCCCCAGCTCGAGGAGTGACGTACCTGTTCCCTGTGCAAGTGAAGACCTTCAACCCCGTGTATTCTGGCAAGGATGTCATTGCTCAGGCACGAACTGGGACAGGGAAAACATTCTCTTTTGCCATTCCCTTGATTGAGAAGCTTCAGGGAGACTCACAGGAAAGAAGAAGAGGCCGTCCACCAAAGGTAACAGTGCCTGCCTAGGATGGTGATGTGCTTTGTCTGACATCTGAGTGATTCAGGTATTTCAGGTCTGTGCAGGGCTAAGCTAACCCGCATTAAAAGTGATTTGAAAGCTGTGTCCACTGCATCCTGTGCTGCCTGCCAGCCTCTGATGGGGAGTGAGCAGCACAACAGCTCTATCCACTTGTCAGTTCCTTTTTCTGCCACAGGGAGACCAAAACTACAGGTGGACAACGTGTTCCTGTATAATTCTGCTCAGTCACGTTACCAGTTCAGGGCTAGTGGCTCCTGGATGCTTATTTTTCTCCTAAATTGCTAACAGATTAGTTACTAATTGTAACTTGACAGCTTGTTAAAAGCTGTCTACTCAAACATGTTTCTTTCTAAAACACATAAACAGTGGGAGGTTTTAAAAATAGACTTAGTTTCACTAGGAACACCACCAAATGTTGAGGCTTCTGCTCCAGGGAATGCAGATTTGTTATGAGCTGTGTTCATTCTGCTAAGAATACCTCGTGTGCTTTTTCACTGAATTCCTATGATGCCTCCAAAAAACCTAGAGAGGACAAAGCTGAGCACATGCTCATTAATAATTTCTGTCAGCTTGTTTCATCTTGTCAGTCATCTCACAGATCACCTGAAGGGCCTTCCAAAAGTAGCACTAGCAGTTTGGTGTGCATCTGCCCATCACAGTTCTGGGCTGACTGAGAATGCTGTCTCTGCATTTGGCACAGTCTTTTGGAGAAGGAAGGGAGACATAAGCCTTGCAAAAGATTCCAGACCTCACTCTGCCATAATACACTGCTGCCTGCTTTAGGTAGTGGGTTTTGATGTTGGAGGAGGTACAGGGATAAGGATGTTAAGGTTCCTTTGTGAGGTGACTGGTCCCAGGTTGGAGAGCAGTGCTTCAGCCACATTTTAACACAATTATTTCACCTGCCTGCAGGGAGGGCTGCATGCTGCAAGAGAGGATGGCTCCCTGGGTGCCTCTGCAGGGTGTGGGTTAGCACAGCAGCTCTGCAGACTGACATATGTTTCCCTGAGCCACAGGGAAGCTGAGAGACTGCTGACAGCTCTTGCACCTCTCACAGGACTGTGAAGCAAAACCCTTTTGTTACCCACGTCCTTCAGTCCTGTGTTCAAACAGCATATGCACATGTAGAAGAACACTTGTAGCTGGTCTGTTCAGGAACTAAAGTTAAATAAGATTTAAGTCTCTCCTATCCTGTTCAAAAAGAAGTTAGCCTGTCCTAAATGAATATATGTTGAAGAGTTTAATGATGTTACAAGAGACTTGAGCAGTGTGTTTCTCCAGTGTGTTTCTCTCAAATTTTAAAAAGATTTTTTTAAAATTTTACAAAGGGTCAGATCTAAATTAATGATCAGATGTCTAGAGGTTTCTTGGCAGAAGCCATGCTGAGAAAACACCTGTTTTATCTTTTTTTCTCTGCAGGTTCTAGTTCTTTGTCCAACAAGAGAGCTGGCAAACCAGGTTGCCAAAGATTTCAAGGATATCACAAGGAAGCTGACAGTCGGTTGCTTTTATGGAGGAACTCCCTATAATGGACAAAGTAAGTGACTCTTAGGACTAATAATTTAAATATTGATTGACTGCCATATTTAAGAAGTGCTGTTGGGTCTTTCCAGACATTTATAGCTCAAAAGCTGGAGACTATTAATGGTAAATTCAGCAGTTCAAAGTGTATCTTCTTATGGAGATGAATAGCTGTGGTTCTCAGTTTATATTCTTGGTGTTACTTATCTCCTCATGTACCTTAAATTAAAGTGGAACAGTATGCTGTGTGTGTAACCTGTATCTGGGTTTAGATTCTTGGAAACCCATTTTCATTAAAGAAGTTTAGTCTAGTTTAGTTAGCTGTGACTGGGTAGGTGTTTTTGCATGTGATAAGGGATATGTAGAGGATTTGTAAATTGTTATGATAGCATAATGTACTGCCTTGGTGATTGTAACAAGGAATGAGAGCGAGCTCTTTTATTGTGATACATCTTGAGACATTAGGGATGATTTTTTTTCAGAACCTCAGGAAGGAGTTGATTTCAGTAATTTGGATGGTTAAATAAATATTTTTTTCAAAAGTCTCCAGTTAAAGTAGATAATTTGGGAA